TGAGGATTTTATTTTTCTGTTCTTCTGCCAAAATCTGAAAATGACAATTAAATGAAAGTTAGTTGCAAGCTAAGATTTGTAATGAGACCAAATTCACAAACGTTTATATCCTTACTTTAAAATTCGTTGGTCTATCTTCCATCCTGAATGGATGTGTAGTATCATTGGCCCTTTGAAGAAGAATGACCCATTGAATTATTCATATCTTCCAAGTGTTAATTCATTTTACTTTTTAAACATCAAAATACCATATTCATTTATATCACCACTAGTCTCACAAGAAACATTTTTTAATGGAAAGAGCCTTAGGTATTTAGTATTTTTCATATTTTACAGGAAATCCCTCTAGATTCAAATTTAACTGGTTCTCAAGCCAGAAACTGTCAGTATAAGCTTCTTTTAGATCCCCAAAGGTAAATTTCAAAACTTACCTGAATTCTAAGTTTATGTGAATTTGAGCCTTAACTCAGACCAAACAGAGGCTTATAAAACATCTACATTTCCCCCCAAAATAATATGCTCCCTCAGGGCCCTGATAAGAGCAGGGTGTTCTGTGACCAAATCCCATGATGTCAGCCACTCTGTGTCTGAGACAGAAGCACCTCACCTCTGCAGAGGAGTCACAGTTAGCCCCAAAGCTGAGTCATCAGAACTAGCCAAGATTGTTCTACTTGAATCATATATTAGTACATCCGTTAGGTAACCGACCTGAGGTGATGTCATCTACGCTGGAGAGGAGAGAAAAACCTCAGAAAAGATCATTGGAAATGACCAGATTCCTAAATATAATGCAGATAGATTTGACGAGCCAGGAGCCTACCTGTCACGGCAGATGGAAATGACATATGCGAAAGAAACCACTTGACTTTGTTCACTAGTTTGCACTCAAGTCCCTGATTCCGCAGTGCACCAGCATCATTAGGTCAATAAATATTTTCTGGGGCTTCCCGGGTGGCCTAGGAGAAAAGTTTCAGCTCTATTACTGCTACAGACTGAGTCTGATCCCCGGCCAGGGAGCTGGACCCACATTTGATGCAGCAGACCTCTCCTGCCTCTCCTGCTCTCCAGCAGCATATTTCAGTAAATCTACTTATTCTGCTCCCCACTCTGTCTCTGGTGAGTCCTCTCACCCCTTCACACCTCTGGCTTACACTCCAGTTCTTTTATGTGCAAAAATAAATAAATATTTTCTAAGAGCTTGCATCCCATTGCAAGACCACTCTGGAGCCCTACCAAGAACCTTCACCCCGTGGTTCCTTCCTTCAGGAATGTCACATCAGTATCATTCTAAGGATAATTTTCTTTTACTACATTGAGGGGTATGGGACAATGTGCCAGGCATTTATGTCCATAATGCCACTGGAGTTCAATCATTTCTACTCTGCTCAGCAAGGCAGAGTGACTATCTCAAGGGCCAGATTTTGAAGCCAGATGTGCCCAGCTGTAAGACCAGTGCTGTGAACCCCTCACCCCACCCCCCACGCATAAGTGCCCCTGGAGAGTCCAGATGTCCTTGCTGGCACTCAGGGCATGGCATGGTGCAGTGTCAGTCCCAGCGCTCCTCACACTGGGAAACGAGAGACCAGGTCCTGCCTGGGGTATAGCCCCTGGACCGAGGCTGCTGCTTTGGAAGTGCACAGCACGGTCCCCTTAGATGCAGATCCGTAAGCAGGCATGTCTCCCGGCCCCGGCAGGGAACATATAGTCTGCACCTTCTCACGCTGTGAGTTGGATTGTTTGTTCCTACAAGTCATCAGCACCCGTGATGACAACACCACTAGCATTTGTTAAGTGCTAGAAAGTACTTTCCCCACCTGAGTCTGTACTCTCACTGCAACACTGGGAGGTAGGAAGCATCACTGTGCCCACTTGGTGCAGACCAGAAAGCTGAGGTCCCAGAGCACACTTTATTTTTTTAATCACAAGGAGGTAGGGAGATCTAAAGGACACTGACATGTCCATTGTCTGCTGAGATTACCTGAGACCACCCACCACCTTGCACCTGCCCCTGTCAGTCTCAGGAGACAGTAGTAGGTGAGCAGCGAGCGCCCCTCACTGAATAGAGAGAGAGATCATGACAGGTAAAGCCTCCTTGGGTCAAGCAGACACTGGGGCACAGCCTTCACAGTCACTGCTAGAGACAGAACTTCTGTCCAGGGGTGGGGTATAGGCCTCTTAACCCAAGGCAAATTCTCAAGCCTTACAATTTGGAGCTTTGCAGTCACTGAAAATCACTGAGCCTTGAAAAACCTTTCTTTTTTTCCCCCCCAGTGTTCAAACTTAAATAAACTAAACTTACAGGAAGACGGTATGAAGCTCAGACACACATAAGGGAAATTCCCTGCTGGGTTATCCCAACTGGGTCCTCTACACGGCTAAATGCAAAAGTGGGAGGCTGTGAACACGCCAGGCTGCAAGCACAGATACAAATACACTGGACCCCAGAGGCACCCGGGGCCAGGGCAGAATTCCAGCTTCCCATCCTACTCCACCTCCCACTTTTTCATTAAGATGCTTCTTCGAATATTCAGATGCATTGGGCAGTGGGGGGGGGGGGAGAACATTTCTGGCTGCAGACTGGGAGGTTGTTTTGGTCAGAGAGACCTCTGGTGGCTCTTGAGCTAAACCTCAGTGTCAGGCCCAAGGATGTGTCCTGGACAGGCAGCTGGACTCCCCTGAGCTTAGTTAGTTCCCTCCACTGTGAAATGGGACAGTGATGCAAACTGCTCTGAACACCACAGTGAGCACCAGGAGAACCAGCACAGCGTAGGCTCATGTTATGTGAACAGGGTCGGTTGCCTGCCCTTACCGGGATCCAGTTCCTCATCAATTCATGGTAGGTCCACCCTGGGGTTTCCTACAGAACCTCTCCATGTAGTAAAGGAGTTGGGTTACCATAAAAGGCAAAAATCTCCCTAAGTTTGTGGGTGACCCCAGTGTGGCCACCCACAAAGGGACATCCCTCCCTGAAGTCATGGTTTACAAGGTTTCCTTTTAGGGGGGATTGTGGCAGCCTTCCCCCCTTTATGCATTTCTAAATGCCTACATTTTTGCTATAAGCAGTTAATTAAGTTTATATTAAGAATAGTAGCCATTCCTTTTCAATGGGGGAAAAATGCTAAATTTCCATTAGTTCTTGTTTTCCTCTTAGCCCACGGATGATTTTACATCTGTTTATTCATCTTAAAATAGAAAAAAAAAGAGACTCTGGGACTTGGTAGCATTATTTAACATTCTCATATTCTATCCTGTAATTTCAACTGTTGTCATTGTCTTCACACAAAGAAAAACAGCAGACAAGTAGACATCTCCCTCTGGAATGAACCCACACAATAGTATTTACATCCCTGCCCAAGCTGAGTTTGAAAATGAAGAAAAGGGAGTGGCTTTATTCCTACCAGCTCTAGGATACTTTCCCACACACCAGGCTAATCTGAAAAGGGAAACTGTCAGCATGAGTGGCTGCTCTGAGCAGTCTCTGGATAAGCATTCCTTGCCTTCTCTTAAACAAAAGGCACAGTGGAGGAAAAGTAGCATGCAAATAAAATTCTGTAATTCCAGAAGAATTTCCTATGCATTAGGGAATTTATCTACTGACAAGAATTTTTTAAAACAAAAAACCCTCTGCAATTGAAATCTTTTTCTAATTGATCTGTTTGATTGACTGATTTTGTTCTATGCTGATTTTTTAAAATAAAGTTCATTTTTTATTTATCCTGGTCCTTAGTAAAATAGCAAAATGATTTGAGAATCTATTTTTTTTGACATGTTCATTTCCAGGTACCATTTAAAAAAAGCAAAACTAGTATTACTAGATTCATTTATTCAAAGGGGGATCCCTTCACAATTCTTCAGCCAGGCCTGAAAAACTGAAAACTTATCAGGAATAGACAGATTTTCTCACTTACTCTGGTATACATGGTATCATTTCAGGGAATATTTCTCAAGTTTTAGGAAGCATTTATTAGCTAAGGAAATGGAATCCCTTCCTAAGATGGCATCAACTCTCTTTCCATGGGATAGGCCTACAAGATGAAATTCCCAGACCTGGCATCAAGCAAAACAGCCACGCCCGCCTGGCGTGAAGCCCATGGATCCGCCAGGGCGCTATAGTGCATGGCAAAGTGCACAACCCACGGCTGCTTTCTAGCTGCGTGATCATACTGAGCCACAAGATAATCACCTCAGGGATCCCACAGAGAAGTGCTGTATGAGGATGTGGAAGGGGAGTTGGGTCGGATCTCAAAATCTTATAAAAGATTGTAGAATCAAATGAGGGCAAGATCTAAATGATAGAATCTAAATGATAGTTTGTATCAGTCACAACTTTAAAACGCCTATTTCCCGTTGAGGAAAGTGACCCTATGTCCCAGTTCTTCTGGAGAGTTTGTTTAGGCCATTGTTGCTGACATTGTTACCTCCTTTCACTCTTCAGGATCATTGTATGTCCCCTGCTAGGTATTCCCTTCTCTTAAAAGCCTCCTGGCTTTATGACAAATGACATTGTCACCTCACCCTCAGGTACAGCTCACCAGGCCCCGCCACCCCAAGGTGCCCAGAGTTTTCCCAACAGAGCTCCTCATTCAGACCTTAAAACTACTCCGCCACCACAATCCTTCAAGGCCAACAAACCCAAAACAGCCCTCGAGACTGACATGAGTGCACGTGAGCACAGCCTCTTGTAGTTATTCTCATCCACAGAAGTGCATCTTGTCAGCTAGTCCAGGCAGATGCTGGACAGACGCCTCAAGGGAGTGGCCCTTCAGGGGTCCCTCTACGGCAGGCACAAGGCAGAGGCTACAATGCTGGGGGCCAGCTGGACAACCTCCCCACCTCTGGTTCGAGCCCCTTCCTCTGAGTCCGCAAAGGGGACCAAACCAAGCCAGAGGTGCTGGTGGCTCTTGCTGAAGAGGGGCTGTACTTTCACAGAGTCAGCCGAAGGCAGGTGTGTAGATCAATAAAAAGAAACTTTATTCTAATAGAGTACAGGAAGGTTTTGAAGCAAGAATTGGTCTTATCTGACCAAGATAGATTTCCTACAGTTTGAACATCTAAAAGGTTATTTTCTGTACAATTATATAAATATTTTCATATTCAAATAAACATATTTATGTTCCTAAAGTGTCTTGCAAAATCAATACAATTAGATTCTTTAGACAAGGATTAGCCTCGTTAGAAAACAAGGAACATTTCCGAGCACATCTGAGAATAAACAGTGGAACGGGACAGGGAGATTTAGAACAATAAAACACAAACCCCTGCACTTGGGTTTCAGAGGATAAGTAAGACCCAGCAAAAACTAAACTATATGCAAAAGTGGAAACAGGCAGGAGAGGAGGAGGCTGAGCTGACTGGCGGCCACGCCCATGCGTCAACCAAGGCCCTTGGGTGGCTCCATCCCAGAGCAGGGGCCTCTTTTATGCTTTTTCTTATCAAGCAAACTGACATTGGCAGCAGAAAAAGACTACAAAGCTTACAGCCATGGATTCAGAGCCCTGTTCCAGCATGTTCAGGGGCTTTGTGACCCTGGGCAGGCCCTGGGCCCACTTCCCTATCTGCTGAACCAGGACAGTAGCATCAACTTTGCTGGTTTGCTGGGAGGATCCGTGGCACCCTAAAGAAAGAGCTTACAGTGCCCCTGGAGAATAACTGATAACAGATAACTAAGATTATTTTTTGTGTGTGACAAGGGCTTTACCCTAGAATTTATTCAGATTCCATATTTTAATCCCTTGCGGTCTGTCAATTACTACTGATTTCAGAGTCTCAAACAGGCCCCATCCCAACTCTTCCATGCCAGTCACAATAAAAATTAGAAACAGACTTTCCTTTAGGACCCCTCTGCTAAGGCGTCAGCTCAGCGTGAGAATGTGGAGGTCCCCAGACGGGGCTGTGATCTCCGCAGGCTCAGGTAGCCCTGTCCTCTTGGAGAGGCACCACGCAAGGGGCACCACTGGCTGATAAGGTGACCGTCACACAACAGGCCATGTGATCTGAGCTCCTTGAGCCACACAGAGGCTCCGGTATCACACACCTTCCCCGAGGGACACCTGACTGAAGCAACACAGGGCCCAAGCCCCTGGACCCACAGAGGCCAGATTCTGGACTCTCAAGTGTCAGGTTCTGAGGCGTTCACTCCAGGTAGGCGGCGTGAACTGGCGGCCACACTCCACTGAGTGCGGTGAGCAGCTTCACCTCATGCAGAAGCAGCGCACGAGCAGGAAAGGACACTCATCATGGAGAGTGGCATGGCAAGGTCTCGGCTAGGTGTGTGAGTGAGCAGATTCCGAAGGAGCACATACACGAGTGCCCCGGGAGATGGGCCGTGAACAGCAGCAGGGACATGAGGCATCAGTTCTGCCCTCAAAAACAACAGGGACCCCCAGTAGCAAGGATACAAAAGGAAGAGATTGTGCCAGCAGAAAACAACAAGTGCAGCTGAGGTAAACTGTGGTCTCAGATATGCCATGCATATGGGTGTTGTCAGAAAGGCCCAACACTGAGGTTTTTTTTGATAAGTTCTGCGGAAAGGCCCAGTGAAGTTTTTTTGGTCCCGATGAGATTTTCCTCATTTCACAATACTAAAGCAAAAATCAGTGAGGAGGGCTGACTCTCCTGTCCTTTTCCAGAGTCCAGCGAGGCTTCCAACAAGTTCAAGCCAATGGCACAGAAGGCCAGGATGTCTGAAGCTGGCACCAAGCAGCATCCGGGCAGGGAGGTCTCACCCAGGAGCCACATCTGGACGAGGCCATGCACTGCAGAGGGATGAGGAGGAGCAGCTGGCGGGCGGAAGTCCCCTAGGCTGGAGAGGGACACTGCTTTCACCTTCAGGCGCCCACGGGCACGCACGTGCATGCGCGAACTTCATCCTTAGGGAGCACCCGGCTGCTACTAGGCTAGGAGAGGCCTTGCTCTGCCTGGGGTTCAGATGCACTGCTCCTCATCCCTGTCACTCAGCAGCAGGGACCACTTGTCCCCACTGTCATCGGCCATGGCGGTGTGCCGAGACAGCTTGTCCGACCGCAAGGAAGACAGTGACACCTGGCTGATGTAGCTGACCTGGTCCCAGGCTGTGGCCCCGGGGGAGTCCCGGCGCCGGTCATCCATGCCAATGTGCACGCTGACCTGGGATGCGCTCAGGGGCTTCATGTGGCCGTGGGCCTGGGCTTCATACCTCTCCTGGTCAGGCTTCTTATAGCTGGAAAGCAAGAGTCCAAGAGCACGTCAGCCATTCTGAACACACAGTCTTGTGGAAAGTCTACAGAAGGCCTCTCGGCCAATTCTTTCGATCACATCCAATATGGAACCTCATGGGTTTTAAAGGAAAAGATACTGAACTCCTCAGGCTCAGCCCCAAGGTATACAACCCAGCAACTTCTGTCCATTTTGGTAAATGAAAGCGTAAGTAAACAAAACTCTTTTTTGAATATGTATATGACAGCAGTAACTCATAGGCTTACAAGGCCCTTGGACAGAGTAACTGCAACAACCGAGCACATGAGGACTGTTCGGTGGCAAATTATTTGCTAATAAATCATCACACACACACACACACACACACCTGGCTCCAGGGGGCTGCGCCAGTCCGTGCCTCAGGTGGACACGTCGGGAACCTGAGCACAGCACACACCCAGTGCCAGCCTGGGGCCCTCTGAAAGGCCTCCTCCCGGGGGCCACTCCCACCACACGGGGACTCACCACTTGAGCTGCAGCGACGAGAGGACCACGGACACAGAGGAGGCCGCCATGGCCGCGGAGCCCATCCACGGCTGCAGCACAATGCCGATGGGCATGAAGACGCCTGGCGAGGGGAAGACAACATTCAGCCCCAGGCCGGTGGGGAGAGCGAGGAGCAGACCCCCCGAGCTGCTCACCATGGCCTGCCCCCTCCGGAGGCCCTGCTGCTGGGTGGTGACCACATGCCTGCAGTCCTACAGGACCGTCTCATAGCTGGGCTGCAGGGCTGCATCAAGGGGCCTAGGGCCTCTCACCCTCACTCTCAGGAGGAACTCTAGGGGAGCTGGGAATCCCAGGGGCCTCCAGGGGCAGTGGCGGGGCAGGGGGAGCCGGAGGAAAAGAAGCAGAAGGCCCAGGGAACCCGTGGTGCTGAGGCACCTCAGGCACAACAAGAACACACTGTGGACCACAGGCGTCTCCCTGACTGTCTTCCTCAGGGCTTCAGAGATCCTTTCTGAAGGGCCGAGAGCCATGCTAACCACCCAGCACTGCTGGGGCAGCTCAGGTGGGAGAGTCGTGTTTAAGACCTTTAGGTCTCAGCCCCTGTAGGAGCCATTCTTTGCAAAAGTGTCTGGATTTTCCCCTATCTTGTAATACAAGAAGCACCAGGGGAGAGAGCTGTTACAAAGCAGACCCATCTGTTTCCATGATCATCTCCGTGAGCCAGAGCAAAAGCCCGGCAGTCTTAATTCTTACGGCAAGGTTCTGAAACACTAACCACGGTCCCTGGTTGGAGCAGGTATCCTATACTGTCAATGTTGGTTATTTTGTAGACTGTGAGCCTTAACAAATGGTTTGGAACACAGGGCCAACGTAAGGAAGCAGTCAAGCATCTTGGCCCGATTGTCAGAGGACCAGAGGAAATGATGGTTGGGTTGTCTCTGTGGCTTCTCATTTACCTTACAAGACTTACAGAGTAGAAAGACTAATACATTCAACCCTTCCTCAAATGCCTCTGGTCAGTCAGCCCATGAGGTGGCTAGTCACTAAGCTGGGCAGGAAGCAGGCAGGCAGCTGGAAGCAAAGGCGAGAGAGCAGCGAGAGCCGCCCTACCTGCCGCAATGGGTATCCCCACCAGGTTGTAGATGAGCGCCAGGATCAGGTTGAGGCGGATCCTCCAGACGGTTCTCTTGGATAGGTGAATGCTCGCCACCACATCGAGCAGATCGTTCTGCAAGACAGGACAAGTGAGGAGTCCTGCCCACATCCTCACACTCCCTACCCTGGACCGCAGGGGAGGGTGACACAGGGCCGCGCTCACTCTGATGAGGACGACGTCGGCTGCCTCAATGGCGACGTCAGTGCCTGTCCCAATGGCGATGCCCACGTCAGCCCGGGCTAAGGCTGGGGAGTCATTGACCCCATCTCCCACCATGGCGACTTTCTTCCCTGCATTCTGCAGCTCCTGGACCTTGGCCACCTTGTGAGAAGGCAGCACCTCTGCAAAGACTTTGTTGATGCCAACCTAAAAGGAAAGGAAAACAACAGTCCCGGATAAATAAATGCCCGACAACAGCAGTATTAGCAAAGGGTAGTGAACAATTGCCTACTTCCCGCCCCTCAGCCTCCAGGTCCAGTCAGTAATGGAAAATTCCAGGTCATGTGGCAAATCCACTCCTCCCCCACACCAATGGCCCTGCCGAGCTTTAGGGCCCCTCCGCATCCAACCTCCCCAATGCTCTTCTCCATATACCCCAGGCAGTCGTTCCAAAGCACTGATCGTCTCATAACGGTACCCTCTGCCGTTATGGACCCCCCCTTTCACTGGGACAACATCCTGACTGCCTGTCTGCTTCTTGAGGTCCCCTTAGCTCTCGCTCCTGCCATCTCCAGCTCCCAGACATTCTGGCACTGCATACTCAGCTCCCCGCACTCCCCAACTTGCCTCTCCCTAGCCCTCCCAGGCAGTCCTGGCCCTGCCCACTGTCCTGGCAAGGAGGGCACTTCTGCTCTAGCCCTCCCCTGCTTTCCCTTCTCACCACTCCCGACTCAAGCACCGTCAGCCGGGGAAGGTGGGACCCCCCTGTCATGCCAGGGGCATGCGATGGGCTGCCCGTGTACCCCGCGTGCTTCTGCTGCGCGGCAAGCACATCACTTGTACCCGCTCCCTGGTCTACCCTTCCGCAGGACCGCGAGTCTCGCCAGGGTAGGTGTCCTCTCCACGCTTTTCTGTAGCCTGCCCATGGCGGTGCTTATAATACTTGCTGTGGACACACAAGTCTTAACCAGGAATCGGGTACTCAACAAGTCCAGTATTAGCAAGGAAGGCCTTGCAGCGAGAGGTAATGCTAATTTCCTCTTAATAAAGCATTTCATCTTCAAAAGCAGCTGTCTACACATTGTGCTGGTGAAGAGAGGTCTATAATTTTCAGGACTTCACAGCTGAGCCATCATCACATGGGGGAGTCTGACCAGCACAGACGGCAAGGCTGGCCTCACAGTCCAGTCTTAGATGCCTGGGGCTGAGGTGCACTGCACAGGACCCAGGCATTTCTCTAGCACACCTGAGTGCGGAGGGCAGAGCTGGCAAAATATCCTCTTAGCATAAATGTATGGGGTGATTTCAGCTCTCAGGCTATAATCCTTTCTGTGTTTTCCTATTGCCAAGACTGGAATACAGAGAATGCTGGATATCAATTTTTCCATAGCTGCAACTGGCCATGCATGAATCACAGCATACAGGCCCCTGGGACATGATCTCACAGCAACAGCACAGTGGTCTCTGGTGCTGCTTAGCCAGGAGAAGAATAAAGCTGGTGCAGAGAAAAGCGCCAGACAGGGGAAGGCCAGAAGCAAAGCTGAGCGCCAGCAGCACTGGTGCCTCTTTTTCGTTGCCCCGACCCACTACTCCTGCGAGCTCTAAGTCCCTGCCAGATGTCCCCAGCCCCGGCACCCGGCCCACACCTGTGTGGCGATGGCTCTGGCTGTCTTCCGGTTGTCCCCCGTGATCAGAACCACATCCACACCCATGCTCTTCAGTGTGTGCACAGCTAGGGCAGCTTCCTGTTTGACGGCATCCGAGATGGCGATCATGGCGCAGAGCACACCTGCAGGGAGCAGCACAGGTGAGCGCACTCGGGCGCAGCGCCGGGGCCGCCAGCACAAATGGCACCGAGTGACTGGGCATGGTTTCATACTGTCATGCTTCATGCAGAAAAACTGAAGGCCAGATTAGGGGGATGCCTGACTTCATTTTCTTTTTAGAGGGCTTGGAACTTTCCAAATTTCCTCCAAGGAAAGTTGATTACTCTACAGAGACCCTGACTCATAAGAATATATGTCAGCTATTAACATAGGATAAGTATAAGAATGTTCCTTTAAAACATGAAAAATGTTCAAATAGCTATAAAGTCAATCCTTTTTGTTGCTTCCTTTTGAACTTTTTGTAGAATTTTTCCCCTGAATGTTTAGCTACTGAAGCAGGAGGCCGAGGAGTTATGTGAGAACACAGCGAGGTGAGTGAAGTGTAAGCTCCTTTGGTTCTGCCGACTCCAATCTAAAGAGCTGAGGGGGCTCTGGGTTCACAAGAATGTAGGAGACTTGGAGATAGGAAGAAGAAATGAAGAGAATGGGCAATGGGACAGATTTGGCAGGATCAGTCAAAACACAATGACATACATTATTACTTCTGACTTGCCCAGATTGGCGTGTATTGGCAGAAAATAACAACAACAAAGATTCTTCTCTAAAGTAAATTTTAATCTACCTGGGATATAAAGCCCGAGGTATAATCTGAGTACTAAAATAAACGCACCGTGAGCAGCTCTGCATACACCCAATTCTATAGACCTGTGAAAAGTTGCAGGAGATCTCATTAAAGGCAACCTGCTGGGCTGGCGGGAAAGGTATGATGCATTTTTTTCATAGACAACAAAAGAAAAGGCATCGTGATTTTGCGAAAACCCAGTAGGATTAAAGCACGTAGAGGGTGAATTGCTGTTTTGTCTGCAGTGATAGAGGAGAATGACTCTGAGCTGCCCACTTAAATGATGACGGGGAAGCAAATGATGATGGTGAAGACAATTCCAAGAGCAAGGATTCAAGGACAGAGCTGGCTCCTGGGTGATGATAGAGGTAACAAGAAAGAGGCGCAGGACTGAAAATGAAGTGAAAGGGAGGGCAAGACAACCTTTTGGAAATAGAACAAAAGCAGCAGAGAGGAAGAACTGCTTTACAGGGAAGAATCTATTTTTGCCTGACATTTCTAACAAACTTCATTTTGGGGGGAGCAAAGAAAGGCATGAGCAAAGCGATACCATCAATAGCCACCAGGATGGCAGTCTGGCCTTTCATCTCGTGATTGGTCATAGCGTCACTGATGTCACTAGAGACGGTTAAACCGTTGCGCCTCATCCATTCACGATTCCCAATCAGCACTGCGAAGGTATGGGAGGCCGCATCTGTTTAAAAGAGTTTGTGGTTATTCCTACACAGTCCAATTTCACTGTAAGAAAGAACTTAAAAAATGGGATTCTTTTAACAGCAAACCCCCACTTAACCCTTCTGAAAAACTAAAACACAGAAGCGCCTCTTAGAACCCCATCCTTGAAGGACCAGGAAAAACGGTATAACTAATATGTAGCGAATTAAAATGGGGCATTAAAAGATAATTGAGCTGTATGTGTGAAATGTTGTAACATAAGAAACATGATACCGTTGCTTATGCACTTTTAGAGGTACCTGGTGGCTCTTTTTCTACAGGGATTAGAAGCAGTTATCTGTCCAGTACTAAAACCAAATGTTGACTAGATTAATCACTGCTTGGTATAGATGACCAAGGCGAGTCAGCAGGGGGTCTATGTCTACGAAATGTCTAAAGACTACACTCCTGAAAGGCCAGTCTTCACCTGTCTCCTTCTGACTGCGTGTGCTGCTAACTTAGGGTGCACTCACAGGCCAGTCCCTAGACCAGTGAAAGGCCACACAGCGGTTTTACATCACTACCGCTGGCAGGTGGCCCCTAGCAATGCAAGCGAAATCAGGATTTAAATACCAACATACTAAAGAGAAAACACTAGACAGAGGTTTTGGGGGGGTAGGGGGTTCTCACGCCCTGATTCTGATAGCAAACCATCTGTCCTTAGAAAAGAAAAGCCCTTATTCAAAAACAGCTGTCAACCCAGCCAGCGTCCGTTCTTGGCTTGGGCACACTATTTCCATCTGCTGTGCCCGGCTGCTGCCAGCTCTGTGCATACTATGCACCCGTCAGAAATCCACCAAATGGAAGCTTTCCTGTTTCGGAAGAACAAAAGTAGAATTTCCATCTGTCTACTTTGTAGCTTAGATGAAGTAAAACAAAATGGGATAAGAAAGAGGGGACTCAAGCCTACGAAGCAGAGAAGCAATACAGAATGAATTTAAATAACACACTACTTTTGTCTGCTGTTCATGTCACAATTGAGATGTATTAAAGAGAGAAACTGCAGCTTTTCCAGGCAAGGCAGGCATCAGGGCACTGCTGTGAACCACCCTTGTCCACATAAGGACATACAGGCAGCGCTCCCTGTGGCTTGGCATGCCATCACCTGCACCAGCCCAGCCCCACCCCTGCAGGCTGAGCCACAGATACAAAGGCCAGGGCACCTGTTTCCGCAGGAACACTGCCAACCCCGTTCAGGTGAGTAGGCCATTCGCCCAGCGGGTGATCGCTATGGGCCAGAATGCCTTCCACGCTGCTGACTTTACAGCCAATTCCACAGCCGGGCACTGACTGGAAATCTGTGCAGTATCCCAAGGTCTCTGTCCCAAGTTCCTGTGAAAAAAGCAAGGTGGGTGAGAGCCCAGAGAGCAGAAAAGTGAGCGGAGTGGGCAGAAAAGGACAGTACCCACCAGAATTAACAGGGAAGCAGAACTGCAGGGAAAGGTGAGGAGACTATTAACTCGGCAATCTTTTTCTCTTATCTGATACAGACATTATAATATTAAATGAAACAGCCTAATTGCTCTCCTTGGTGAATGCTTTGTGACAATGGACAGGTTGTGGGCCAGAAAGAAGAAAAGCACTTCACCTTCAACTATGGGTGTGCAGCTATCAAGGAGGAGAGATATTTTGATGATGTAAACAGGTTCATAAAAACAATGGGGAAGGTGCGTGGTAAGAAAGCTACTCTGAGTTACCTACCATTCATCAGACCCAGGGAGGAGGGATGACCTGGCAGGGAAAACAAATGAGGGCTGTTCTTATTTGGGGAACAAAACAGCAAGGAAGGATGACTGCGATGAGGGTAATTCTTCCTGAAACACCAGCAGGGTGAGATGTGAAATGACAGACTGTCTGACCTTACACAAGACAAAACATGAAATGCGATTTCTGGAAGAGTCTGATCCAAACAAAGCTGTCAATTTTTTTTTCCCCCAAAGCATTCATGACACCTTTCTACATTTACTGATAATTTTTTTATTTACTCAGGTCATTTAAAAAATTTTCAGGGCAATATTGTGGCACATTATGTTGCCTCAAAATTCAGACTGAAAACAGAAAACTAAATAGGCCCCTCTGTGGGGAGAGATCAAAGAAATAATGCCTCCTCATTAATTGTGCCAAGACTCCCAGAGACTCTGAGCTCACTTCCGCTGATTCCTCTGCATCTCAGGTGCTCCCAGCGGAGTGGATTCGTCCTCCCTCGCTCTCAGGATCCCATTCGTTTTTGTATCCCTTTGCACTAACTGCATATAAAGGGCTGAATTTATGCTCTGTCTTCCCCACCGACTGCCTGCTCCCAAAGGGCAGAGTTCACGTCTTACTAGTGTTTGAAGTCCCAAGCACAGGTGCTCGGTAAGTACTCATGAAGACTGTGAACACGCAACTGCTCTTGTGATGATCTGGAAATGTGACAAGGAACCTACCAGTGTGAGCTGTAGCTCCACCGGCTCCAGACCACACCACCAAGGCCTCCTCAAAGGCAGCTGATGCCGGTGCTGGTGGCAGCCAAGACAGGAGGTGGAGGAAGGGCAGGAGAGCAAGCCCGGGAGGAGGCTCGCAGATTGCGGGACTCAGCATTGCCAAGGCCACGTACCTCTTTACAGTATCTGGTGACTGCAACACCCAAGGGGTGCTCACTGCTCGCCTCGGCCGTCCCCACTACAGCAAGCACCTTCCTGAGGGGCAGCGTGGCCATGTCCACAAGCAGAAGGACCCGCATGACTTTGGGGACTCCGTAGGTGATGGTGCCAGTTTTGTCAAACATCACAGTCTTTATCTGCCAAAACAACCACATCGTGGTCACCACAAATACAGATGGAACGGGCTTTGGAGTCCACCAATCTGGAGACAGGACTTGATTCAATCCACCTCAAGCAGACAATGCTCCTTCGTAACTCTGTAATATAATCCTCTGCAATCAACCTCAGGTCCAGCCACATGCACACAAAGACATTGCTTCCCTGTCTGCCCAAAGGGAAGTCTATACTGTGTTTAACCTTCATCAGGCTGAATCAGAAACTCCCACTCTGATGTTAAAAAGACTGCACTGTATTATCTCCCAGACATCAACAGGCACAGATTTCTCCCTGTGTAGCCAGAACCACAGTTAGAAGAGTCTGCCCATCTCCCTGTCCACTGATAGCTGGCCGGCCAACCATCACTTTCTCTAGCCTGCATAATGCAAAGCCTACTGAGAATAAAGTTCTCAGGAACTTCCCTTGGCCAGAGTAACAAGCAGCCACCATCAATCCCACTTGGCTAAGTAGCCCTGAACAGTCCCCACATAACTGCACTCAGCCATGAGTCAGCCCACCATTCAAACCCCTGCTTCTGAAAGTCCACCAGTCTCTGAACCCCATACTTTCACAAATCTTCTACAAGGTCAGCTTGTAGGGCTCACTTTCTGGGTTCACACTGTTTCACCAGCACAGTTCACCTTATTTAGCCAACAACAGTTTTTGTTTCCAGTGCTGAGTGGTGGTCTCTTCGACATATGAAGTGATCTTCCTCCAACAACTCTTGTCTCTTATTAATCCAGCCCTCACTCTGCAGCCAGATGATATTTCCAACACATATCCTAGTTATGCAGATACCTCACACCCTCCTTATTGTTCTTTGGGTGAAGTTCTGAATCTTCTATAAAACCTTCAAGGCCTAACTTTCCCTTCCCTCCTGTCCCCAAGATTCATCTCCTGTCAATTTCTGTATGACTTTCTTTTGGTATCTCATTTATTTATTCAGCAAATAACTGTTGAGTGCAGGCACTGGGCAAGATGCTGGGGATGAAACTGTGAGGAACAAGTCCATGATCCCCCACTGGAGGAGACTAGGATGAGGCATTTAGCTCTACCCCAAACTCTGTGCACTGGCCAATTCTTGCTCAGCTGTCAGGTCTCAAATTAATCTTGAATTTCTTCCTCTCACCCCAGTCCAATGCATACAAGTCTAAGTTAAGTCCCTTGTAAACTGCCTACACAATGCACACGCTCATAGTATGTGTTGCTGAGTGACTATTTTCTGTCTTACTAAATCATAAGCACCTTGGCAGCCACAGACTGAGACCATTGCCAGAGTCTAGCACAGGACCCACCCACAGTAAAGGCTCAACAAGTCATCTAAATAAATGGAAAGGTGAGAGGTTAGGGATTGGTATGTTGGATCAAAGGAAGAACCTTCATTAGTAATGCTGCTCACTGTTCTACTCCCCAAAGTCACAGGACCTCTCTGATAATCACGGGAACACAGAGTCAGTACTGGTCTCTGGACTACATACATAGGCATGGAGCCTGGCTTCTTAGCTGCAAATTACCTCGCCGATTTCTACTGCAGTTCCCTTATCGGTAAAATAAGAATAACAAGCACCCACCTCAAAGAGTTGTTGTTAAGGCTTAACCAATTAATAAAGCATTTACTCTGTAACTGTTAATGTTGCTGCTATTATCATCACCATCATCCTAGTGTTTGTTTTACTTAACAATGTTATCGAGTGACTCTTTTAGGTTTTTCCCTTAATATGCAGCTTAAACTTTTCTATTAGGTTTTCCATTAGGACTCTCCAAGTTTAAAAAAAGTAATAACCAGGTAGTGCCTACAGCTATAGAACCATGCCAGCTGTCTCCCCGCCATTAGCAGGGGGCACCGCAGTACAGAACCAACCTTGTGGGCCATCTCCAGAGGCTTGCCTCCCTTGATGAGGATGCCATTCTGGGCTGCCACCCCAGTGCCCACCATGACTGCTGTGGGCGTGGCCAAGCCCAGTGAGCAGGGGCAGGCAATACACAGCACTGTGATGGATGTCTGGAATGCAAACCGAATGATGACCTCTGCCTGGGAGATGTGCTGGCTAGGGATCTGAAAAGATGAAAGCGACAGAGGCAGGTGGAGTTATATGAGGAATCGCACAGAATTCTGATCATATAAGAATATTCTGGCCCTCCCTGGTGACGCAGCGGGTTAAAGCACAGCATTAAGAAGCTAAAGCTACTTCCACATGAGTTCGATCCCCGCCTGCCCCGGAGGTGACCACATGACGGGGCAGACCTCTCCTGACCCTGCTCCCCGCTGCTCCCCTCAGCAGTGTACTTCGTCAATCTGCCTGTTCTGCTCCCCACTCTGTCCCTGGTGAATCCTCTCACCCTCCGCATCTCTGGCCTGTACCCCAGTTCTGTATGAATAAATAAATAAATTTAAAAAAAAAGAATATTCTGGTGCGGGCAGTGGGGCCTGAATGGCATAATGAGTGGGTTTGGGAAATATGGAAGTACTCTGCTCTCTTTGGTGATACTGCAGTTTTCCAAGCTGACCCTACTGGAATTGCTCAGAGAAAGGCATTATAAGCACAGTCACATAAAATTCACTGATAGGGAGAAACAGCATAGACTCTAGAATTGGACCACAGAGGTCTATATCCTGGCTCTGACAGTAATATAGCTTCTCTGTGTCTGTTTTATCACTTACAAAATGGAGATAAAGATATCCATCTCACAAATTATTGTAAAAAGTAAATATTGAGATAATACACATACAGACACACAGATATATGAAGTACAACACTTGGCACAGGAGAGGTGTCTAAGAAATTGTCATGAATGTATTATCGTTATTTATTAGTCACTAGTATAGAAACATTTAAATAATGATGGTTGCAAGGAATCAAGTAATAATTACACAGTTGGGAAAAGAGGATATTTATCACAGTGTTCTTTGTAATGATAAAAAAACTAGAAACAAGCAATAGGGAACTAGCTCATTAAATTATGAGTATGGTATACAAAATGGAATATTATGCAATTGTTGAGATGATGTATATGCTAACTGACATGGAAAGATGCTAGCATTGCTGAATAAAAAGAAGTACAAAATGGCATATGCTATAATTTAATTACTACAAAATGATCTGCTTTATCTGCATATGGCCTCAGAACAATACTAGATAGATGTTTACCAACGTGGAAAGAACAGTTACTTTCTGAGATTTGGAACCACATTTATTTTCCTCTGTTTTTCACTATTATTTTCTTTGTAAATCCCAAACAAACAAAATCTGTGTCTCGTCTGTAGTTTCCTAGGGGCATATCTTGGTATTAATCATTTGATTCCAACAACTTAAATTATCTTGGTTTATTTTTCAAAATGGCTGACGACTCTGGTTTACAATCAAGAAATTCTATATTCATTTAATTATAGTAAAAAGCATAGTATCTAAATCAAAAATATAGAACATAATTTCTTTAATTACAGTTTATTCTATGATTTTGAAGTTTCTAAAACAACAATTTTTAAAATAAAGTATATTCTTAAAGTCATTTCATTGTCATAGGAACAGCAGGACTTAGGTAGAGACATGCAGTTTAACATGTAATTTTTAGATAAAGATGGTGTGTGTGTGTGTGTGCATGTATATCTTTAAACCCAGTAATTGTTGTCAAAATAAAACCTGGCATTCAGATGAGATTGGGTGGACTCCTAGAGGTTAACATGAACATGGTCCCTACAAATGATTTTATATAGCAGAGTGATAAAAATATCTTAAAGGAACATGCAGTACCTCATTTGCCAGCATCCTCCCTGATATTGCAGATAAAAAACAAACAAAAAAACCCAAAGTAAGATGAAAAGGCAGGGAATAGCAAAAAGCAACACATTCTTATTTAGGATTGAGTCTTCCCACAGCCACATGCAAATCAGCTGCTTTCCCACAAAAGCAGAAATTTCAGGCAGTTGGGTATCTTAATGGCCACTGGCAAATTCTAGGGATACAGTCAGGGGTTACTCTTAAAAGCACTGAGGCCTCCTTAGGTATCAGTAAGTATTTAATTTGGACATTTTTTCATTTTAAAATAAGAAATTTGAGGGAGTAACTAATATCAAAAAAGGACATCCTATTAAATGAGGTATATCCTAAGACTATATAATTTTAATTATGGGTAGCGTATTTCTTAAAGAAAAATAATGATCCATTCCATAGTTACAGTTTCTTATTGTATGGCTCTATGATAAACTACACTTTAGATTAGCTGGTTGAGAGATATTTTTGAAAATAAGGTAAAACATTGCTCCACTCACCAGGCTGCCTCAGTAGGTCCTAAGCTTTTTAGGTAAATCAAGGTTGTTCAGCCACAGCTCCCCTGACAGTGCCAGGTCATTCTCTGTTGTGGGGTGTGACTGACAAGTTGTGGGATGTTTGCAGCACCCCTGGCCTCTACCCACTAAAGGGATGCCGGTATATCTCCTCCCCAGTGATGACAACCAAAAATATCTCTAGATGCTGTCAAGTGTCTCTGGGGGGACAAAATCACTCCCAACTGAGAATCACTGATGGGTGCAGTTCTTACATCTGCAGCAGAAAAGCTTTTGCATTTTTCACAATTCTTTTATGTTTGATAAAACTTTATTTCCTAAGAGTATTCTTCATCCACCTTTTAAATGCAAACATGTCTAGTCCATTGCCTCATGTATAATATTTAAACATATATAATTATTAAAAAGCTACTAGCATTGCCTAGGAAGCTGTGAGTTTGGAGATAGAATTGATGGACATAGAGAACAAAATATATATTTTCCTGAAAATCTGTTAACTGATGTTATTGTGCCACTGAAACTGTGATGTGATCTTTTTTGTGTGCGCCATAATCTCAGAAACAGACAAAACTATATAATGTAAATGTTTTCCTCTTTACAACTGAGAGTCACTTGCAAATGAAAGTCTCAAATTATCTAACTAGAAAGTAAAAAGTACAGTGATTGATTGTCCTACCCTAGCTAAGGTTTTGCTGCCAATAAGTGAAGCAAGTAAATAAAATGTAATGGGTAATTAAAGTCCAATGAATCGAAGACATGAAAGAACAGGATTAATGGCAATACATTATTTATTAACATGGTAACCATACTGCCCAAAGCGTTCAACTTACAGGAAAGTATTTCTGAACAACACCAAAATCGATAAAGCCGATTATAATCCATACCACCAACGTCAAAGTTGAAATGATGATGATAAATGGGACAAAATATCCACTAAACCGGTCAGCCAGTTGCTGAATAGGTGCCTATAGAAACAAAACACCAAGAGAAAGGGGAGTTGTTATCTACAAGGAAACAAACACCACAAGCACAGAAATCTTATTTCCCTCACTAACAACACTGACAAGTTAATCTCTCCTCAAAAAAGTCTGCCTCATTCTGCAGAATTCTTGAGATTATTTCTCAAATGAGGAAGATGAAGCTGTATTATTTTTTAAATTTCTTCATTACCTTTGACATCTGAGCCTCTTCCACGAGCTTCACAATCTGAGCCAAAGTGGTGTCATTGCCCACATGGGTGGCGTTGATGAGCACGGAGCCGTGTGCATTTATGGACCCTGCAATGACTGTGCTCCCAGGTTTCTTAGTGACGGGCATGGCTTCTCCTAGAGGAGAACAGAGAACAAGCACCACATGCCAAATCCAATCAGCACTCATGTGACCTGATCACTGCTGAGACCCCCCCGCATAAGGGCATGCGAAGTGAGTCACCTAACCTGTGATGAGAGACTCATCAGCCATGGTGTTGCCTTCCAGCACTTTCCCATCCACAGGAAACTTTCCCCCAGGAACCACCTTGATGATATCACCCCGCTGCACCAGTTCCATGGGTACTTGCTCCTCCCTGCAAGAAATACCACTCAAGTTACTCACAGGAATTCACCCTCTTGGTCTGTCCCCCCACATCAGATTCTAGGCAAACTGTTGGACTAGTGAGATTGTGCTTAGTTCACACCGCCAGCAGTGTTTGTTTCATGCATTCAATTACAGATTGAGTCAATTTTTACTTTGCAACTACACGGTACCTGGCTCTGTACTAGGCAGTGGGGCCACAGCTGCTGTGAGGAGGACAACAAAGCACCCACCCTCATGAAGTCAAGTTTCTCGAAGGAAATGGACAATAAACAAGATAGTTCCAGGTATGAAGTTAGGTCTATGATGAAAATAAACAGGATGAGGTCACCGAGGGCTTCTTTGCGTGGTAGGGAGGAAGAGAGAAATGGGAAAGGCCTCTCTCAGGTCATGACATGTGTACTGAGGCCTAGATAACAACAGACGTCAACATGGGAGAGAAAGAAAACTCAAGGGAGAAAACAGCTAATGCAAAGGCCCTGGGGAAGGCAGGAAAGATGTCTTTGAGAAAAAGTTAGAAGGCAGCCAGGGTCTGACATGTCAGATCTTGCAGAGCAGAGAAATGGCTTTGGATGAAGTGATGTTTAGTAGGAAAGTAACTGATTCACCCCACTAGCTCCTGCAGGAGAATAGACTGTAGGGGCAATAAGAGAAGCTGAGAGGAGTCAAGCTGTTGTGGCCATACGAGAAAGAGGAGGCAAAGGCATGGGCCACAGATGAAGAAAAACTCAAGATATTTTTAGGTCGTATATGAATTAGATGAGCAAATACAATGGGCCCCTGAAGGAAATCATCAAAGACTTATAATTTTTAGTTTGCGCAAGTGGGTGCATGGAGACATCATTTCATGAAAAGGAGACAACTACAGAGAAGCAGCTGAGATGGGAGAGGAATGAGACGGGAGGAAGATCTCTGCAAGTCAGGTCTGAGATGCCTACACCACTTCCACGTAGAAAGTCAGGTAGGGACTTGAAAAGATGGTCAGCTGAGGGAGGAGGTCAGAGACCGAGATACACATCGGAAAGTTGCCCAATATAGATGGCATGAGCTTACCTAGGAGTAAAAATGGAAAAGAGGCCCAGCTCTCAGTCCTGGGGCACTTTAAGATTTGGAGGATAAACAGGTGGGAGGGCCAGTCACTGACATGGCAGGAAAAGGGGAGGATGAGACTTCCAGGGAACCAAATGCCGGAAACACTGCCACACAGATGCAAATACATGTGAAACTCATCACTTAGGATGTGCATATAGTAAAAAATAAAGAAAAAAGAATTTAAGAGGGAGAGAAAAAGGAAAAATGTTGGTGAGAGGCTGACATGAAGACAAAAAAAAGCCCCAAAACAATAGTCAGATTTATTTATTTGATGTTTTTGGCCAAAACAATGTCAAAAATTCATGGAGGCAGAAACCGGTCTGGAATGGGCTAAGAGAGAATCGGTAAAGGGGAAGGAGAGAGCAGCCAGGACCACTTTTAAAAGAAGTGCTGTGAAAGGGAAGGGGAGTTAAGATAGGAAATTGTGAACTGTTTGCTGGGGGGATGGCCCCACAAAGACAGGGACAGAGTGAGAAAGCAAGAGGGGGCGTCAGGCTTCGAGAGCATCTCTCTGACAGCATGACAAATCCTCATTCACCTCCCTGTAAGTCACAGGCGCTCATGAACAAGGCAGAATAGCCAGTGCATCCTATGGCAAGGATAAGGAGGCAGCTTTAGGGACAGCGCAAGGAGGGGCCTCAGGAGCTGAAAGAGGCGCCAGAGATAATAGCAACAAATTCCAAAGGAGATAATCACACACCCCAGGACTAGGGACTACAGGACCTTCCAAACAAGGGCATAAAGAAGAAAGACTCTAAGATAAGAGCTGAGACACAGAGAGTAGTTCTGGGCACAGAGGCGTTAAGACAGTGAGTGAGACCACTAGAATTAACCACTCACTCAGAGACTGGTGGGGCTTTAGGATAATTAGGGAAAGAAGGTCTGTATTCCGTGAGGTACGACACTCTGGTCCCTCCCTGACCACGTTCCACCTGCGGCACAATTTGTTTCTGTTCTTTCTCCTTAAGAAACCTTTTCTTTCTCTAAACAAGAACCTGCCTCCTTTCGCTTACTTGTCTGCACATCAGGTAGACACCAACTTGTCTAGCAACTTGTCTAGCAGCCGGGACTCAGTGCTGCCACTGCAGCCTGGGGTCGACCCATTCCTGGCTGGGAGCCTGGGCAAGAAGAGCAGGCCTGGAGAACAAGTAGGGTTCTAGGACTGTTCAAACATCCCTTTTATTCTACAACTCCATCTAAGCTAAGTTGAAGAGGAGTATACAAAAAGTCATCTTACTTGAGAAGGGAAATTAAACATTTACTGAGTACAGGTACGCTACTATTTTCTCTGCTTTATTTCACTGAATCTTCCCCAAAGCCTATAGGTGATCACCCCCATTTAAGGAAAAGCCAATAGATTTTGTAGGAGAGGCATCTAATCAAATACCCATGCCCATTTCTTTAAGTGTTGCCGTGTACAAATGTGTCAAACTTTGGAATCAGCATGTAGACAGAGATGTTAAATATTACATCTTTTCTCTTTTAAAATATTTTCTCCTTTAATATTTTCTCTTTCCAAATTACCATGCATCCTCTGCATGGTAGTGAGGATTCAAGGACTTGTCTGAGCATGAAGACCCATCTGTGCCTACCACGCCACCACCTCCCCGCAGGTTCCTGAGAACACAGGCTGTTCTGGACGTCGCCAGAATCCCGAGACTAAGTGCCACGTGAGCCTGTGAGCGTGCCAGATGCCAGGACACAGCAGTGAGCATGGCAAGCGCCTGACCTCAGGCGTTTGGGGTCCATGGTGCTGGCCGGTCACAGGACAGCATGTGCTCTGGGTCAAACTCGGTTCAACGCCGCAGAGTCCTCCTTTATAAATGGCGATTCTGTTCCCAGGATTAACTGAGATAATGCTTGTTTAACGGTCAGTCAGCAACACCCTGATGTACGGGTAGAGCCCAGGGAATACGGGTGGCTATCACCTAGTGGACCTTTTCAATACCGATGCTGAAACAGACCCTGGGCTGGGTGGGATTCCGAACAGGACAAAGAGGAGCCTTCCTCTCAGGTTTGTTTTTACAGAGAGCAGGAAGCAGACAGATGCAAGTTCAATAATGGCCACAATAAAATAAAAGGAGTGCTGAAAAAGAGAGCTCTTTCAAGGGAAAGTGGGCACATGAGTCCCAGAGTCTACTTCTGCTTAAGGCAGTGTGGTAAACAGGAGACAGGGAGACCCCTGCATCTTGAGAATACTCTCTGCTTCTTTTTAAGTCTCCCACAGAGGTAGGTAGGTTTCTGCATGACAGGAGAAGCTTGTGTCTGGGGAAGCACTTGCTCATTTCAGAAAAGAGGACTCAGAGGGCAGACAGGCAGCCTTTCCCCTCCACCCCCCACAACCTAACTGCTTAGCTCTAAATGCTCGCTCATCGGGTGACACTTGGCACACTCATCCAGTGGAGTGCCTTTCTAAGAAATCTTTAGTAACACTAATCCTGCCTAATCTAACTTTGAATCTCTCCTTTGATCTGAATTAATCACATCTTTCTTACTCTAATGAGCTTAATTTAAGGTGAAAAGCACTTCATGGGAGACACAGTGGTTCTTTCTGGGGAATTCCCAGCAGCATTTCTTCTTCAGAAGCTAAATCCACACAGAACGCCAGCTACAGGAACACACTCCACTGAAAGAGAGTGTCCCCTGGCATTTCTTTAGCGTTGAGTGTTTCTCCCTCACCTGTCCCCTCTTCTCTGTTCTCTTTCCTCATCTAACACAAAGCCAAAAGACAAAGAAAGAACATAAGAGAATGGCCACTGCCTAGAAATAACTTGCAATTTTGATTCCCCAATTATAAAAAAAACAAAAGACTTCAATGTGGGAGACCGGGGAACAGGCTTTGCAGGCCTTTTATGTCATAAACATGAGTTTATTTACACACGAGTGTAATTTATTTCTCCAACATTTGACAGTTGTGCCACTCATTCAACTCATAGGTGTCTGAGCACCACCATGTTTATTAAGTCCCAGGTGACAGAGGCACTGGGCTTTCTGAACACTGAGAGCAATGAGCCAGGTAGGGGAATAGGAAAGGACCTGACATCCTAGCTGAGACCTGAAGAACAAGGAGACAAGGGAAATGGAAAATGGAAGGAAGAAAAGTGTTCAGCAAGAGGAATGACGTGTGCACAGAGGCACAGGGAGAAGAGAAGCTCTTTCCCAGGCAGCTGGGATTTGACAGAAGAAGGGCGGAACAAGAAACAACTTAAGACACATACAAGGCAGGCACAGAATCATGTATGTCCATTAAGAGAAGAACACAAGACAACAGGGAGTTGCAGGAAGATTTTGAGCTACAGAGTAACACAATTAGAGCTATGATTTCAAAAGATCTCTGGTTTGAATGTGGAAAAATATTTGGAGGGAGACAAGGCTAGAAACAGAAGGTCATGAGGAGTCTGTTGTACTTCAGGTGAGAGAGAGAGTGGTGGCCTGGGCAAGCGTGGGGACAGTAGGAGGGGCAGAGAGGTCACTGAGCTAGAATCAGAGGATGGAGCCTGGTGTACGCAGCAGGGGGAAGGCAGATGCCCAGGGCTTCACCCTGGAGCTGGCATGTGATGGGCCATCCGAGACGGACAGGGGCTAGGGGAAAGAGGCAGAATATGGAAGGGGAGAGGATGGGAAGGTCACACACTGGCTGACTCTGAGTTTCTGTGAACCACCCATGAGAAAGAGTCCAACAGGCTGAGGAACATCGAGGTCTGAGGTAGGTTTGAAAATCACCTCCACACCTGGGTGTCTGAAGAAATGAGGGAGAAGAGATGTGCCTAAGACACACCAAGACAACAGGGCCAGCACTGAAACCCCAACAATCACTCATATTTAAGGAGTGAGGTGAACATAAAGTCCATGAAAAAGCCCACAGCAGTCACTAAGAAAGCAAGGCTCGGCAAACTGAGCTCACATGTTGACGCTCCACTACCCATGACTTTGGGTGAAGGAGAGGTGTCTCCAGCAAACTAGTGGAGGGAGATACAGGATTGAGTCTCACCAATATGTACAAGCTGAAGAACGAACCTTGGGAGGCCTTCAGATAGTGCCACTTATTATTGCACACCCAGCAGCTGCCCAGAATGCAGGGCCCTGCAGGAGGTAAAGGTTGACTGGGGGCCCTGCCACATCGCACACCTCATGCTACAGAGAGGACTCCTCAGGGGGTGGAGCCAGCAGCCTTGCCCTGGGAGAGCAGATATGACCAGGGCCCTACTCCTCCCAGAAGCTGGAGCACCTACTCAGGAAGGTGGGGTAGACCCCCCAGCCCTGTTTGACAAACATAGCTAACGTGATGCAAACATACAACCATCTGAGGAAAAATCAGGATGAACTCTGTTCTCCTGGCTCCTAGCTTAAAAATGGTATTCCCCATTATAACAATTAATAGCCAGGCTGATAGTGTCCACAGCCCCGAATCAATCACCTTCTTTGGAGAAGAACAGAGTTATGCCTAAGGCAGCCACATGTTCCTTCAGCAGGTCATCTGGCCTGTGCCTTTGACAGGTGCATGTCTCCTTGTGAGTAGCCCACGTGGTGGTTCACCCGATCAGAAGCACTTCAGAATGAAAGACAGAGCAGAACTGCAGCAGCCTGTAACTCTTTCCTGAGGTGAATGCTTTTATACCTCAGAAGTATGCATGTCATCAATTTATAAGGAAGAAAACAACCCAGATACAAAATTACTGCAGAGCCAGCAAAGCAGTTGGGGGTGTTGGGGCCCACAAATGCCACTAGCTGTGGCACACTGGTCCGCTGAGGAAGGCAATAAAGGGGTGGTTGAGAGGGTAGTTCTGTGTCTCCAGGGCTTCAGTCCCAATCTGCCACGGACCTGGCAAAGTTACTTCACCTCACTGAGCTTTAGATTCTTCCTAACAAAGTGGGGATCATGACAGCACCTACCTTACAGGGTAGTTACTTATCACGGTTAGGTAAGTTATGTGAAGTGTTAAGTAGTGTACCTAGTAGGCAGTAGTTCTCAAATCTCAGCTGATACTACCAACTTCTGAGTGTTATTTAAAAGCCAGCATCCAGGCAAAAGCTGGTGGTACTGCTGCGGTCAGCCTGTGCCTCACTAACTTCATTCATTCATGTCTCGCCACCACTTCATGTACTCAACAAAGCAGCCCTCAGAGGCCACCTCTCACGCACATGCAGTGACAACAGTGGCAACAGTGGCAACAGTGTGTGGAATGGCAAGAGATGGAGGGACAGGGCACAAGGTTTGTCTCAAAGGGGGAAGCATTTGGAGAGTATGTGATACTGGAAGGTAAGATGCAGGAGAGACAGAGCCACTGAAGATGAATGAGAAATCAACAGAAAAAGGCTCCTGAGCACAAGCCCAGCAGAGAGACAACTCTCCTACCAGGGCAGGCAGAAGAAAGCACAGTAGAGAAGGTTGGTTCTGTAGGTTGAGTGACAGGGAACTGATGGCTTTTCCATCTAATGGTCCCTATTTTCAGTAATCAGAAGTGAGATCACAGGCTAAAGAGGAAAGTGGTGGGGCCAGAGAGAGTTCAGGCATGTGAAAAAGGTCTATAAATAACCATAGAATATGACCAGGGAAATACAGAAGCCTTCATTTGTTTAAAAAGAAAAAAAAAAGTCAATGCTATTTAAAGTGCTTTAAAAGTCAGTATACACAAGAATTAAGAACTTGGAGACTTGAACCAACAGCCTGGATCATATCCCAATTTCATTATTTAAAACCTCCACGTCCTTGGATCAGTTGCTTAGCTTCTCTGAAATGCAGTTACCTCATCTGTAATAACAAGTTCTTCTTCATCACATTTTTCATACCTGACTCATAGTAAATGCCATGTAACTTCCAAAGATAATGATAATAATTATCATTAATTTATCTGTCAAGTTAATGAAGAAAAACAATGCTACTCTCATTTTTATACTTTGGCAGATTGAAGCCTTTATCTCCCAGCCTGTTTGAACTCCCCAAAGCTTCCAAAGGAGGGTGAAGTCGTGATCCATGTTTCCAAGAAGCTTCCCTCACCACCACTAGCCTTCTTCTACTAAATTCTGGAACACTCCTCATCTGTACAGCTCACTGGTCACTTGACCACCTCACCCTGAACTCTCCCTTACCTTTTAGTATATAAATGCCCTGCCCACCTAACTGGATGGAGAGGAGGGCTCTTTCAGAACATGTCTTCATTCTCCCTTACAAGGTTTAGTGTCATGTACATAGTGGGGATCCGATGTGCAGATTGATATAAACTGACCAAGGATTTTGATGAGATTAACCCACCTGATGATTAAGTTATCCTCACCAAGAGTCACAACGGTGGCTTCTGTGGCTTGGAGAGACATGAGTTTGGCAAGTGCTTCTGAAGTTTTGCTCTAAGAAAGAACCAGAATGCAAAATAAGAGCTGTCACAGTTGGTGTGTGCAAACCAGACTGACATTCACAGGCCAGGATCAGAGAAAGCCAATGCAGAAAGCAGCTGCCCCCAACAGCCTCACTGCATGTCAAAGGCCCCCCCAGAATGGGTGTCACTCATGTAGCCGTGTCCTCCCCACACTGAATGTTCCAGGCCATTAAGTTCTATGAATTACTGTCTTCACCTGGGATCACTCCAATTTCTCTTAGGGCCTGAGTTATTTTATAGGCTACCTTAAAATACCGGGTATAAGGCAGGGTGTTAAAAACGGCATGAACCTAAAGTATAAATGTGGGCTTCTAGACTCAGTTATGTTCTAAGAGATGGCCTGAAATCCAGGTTTCTTTCTATAACACACTGCACCTGAACAAAAGTTTAAATAATTAACCAAATTAGCTGGGATTTCAGACGTCGTCACTAATTTGGAGATTAGAGACCAGAACATCTAATTACAGAGAGGGTTCACATTTCTTCAAGTCTTTCTCTAGATGGTACGTAATTAGTAATTCTAAACATGGTGTTCAACTGAACTAAGGTTCGTATTACTAAAGAAAGGGCTCTTTTATAAATCTGAAGCTGCAGTTACCTTTGCCACGTGTTCCAGCCACCGCCCCAGGGCAATGAACACGAAGAGCATGGGAGGCGTGTCAAAGAAGGTCACAGGGCTCCTCTCAGCCCTCTCAGCTATGGCCACGACCAGGATGATGAAGGAGTAGACATAAGCGATGCTCGTGGCCAGCACGATCAGCACATCCATGTTGGCTGTCCTATGCTTCAGAGATTTGTAGGCCTGAATGTAGAAGTACCACCCACCGAGGAACTGGAAGACAGGTGTGGGCAGGGGGTCGAGGGGACATGACTGTGACAAGCAGGTACACACCTCCAGGAGGACCAGAACAGTGGCCCTTCAGGAGCGAGAATGCTCCAGATTCACACACATGATGGTCTCCTCTATAATTGCTATTTTTTGACGTGTAGTTCCTGATCCTGACAGCTACTGGCCATGGGAAAAGATGACCCAAGGCAGGGAGACCTTTAAAACCCATGGACAGAACCTCAGTGTCCACCAGTAGGATACCAGTAGGGTAACAGTAATAACAGGTGAGGTGAATCATGGTTCACTTGCTTTGTGGACAGAGCTAGGCATCCCAAAGGAGAGTGCTGGATCTATAAATGACAAGCATCAAAGAAGCCCACAGTATGAGGTTAAGTGAAAAGCCAGTTATAAATCAGTCTATCTAGCACAGTCCCATGACAGAAGTCTGTGTCCATATTATGTGAACATGTACACATACATACATACACACATAACTTGGATTTTCCTCTATATAGGTGAGGGTCTGGACAAATGAAAACCCAACTGGTGATAACACCATGTTAACCTGGAAGAATGAGCCGGGTTGTAGGCAGTATAAGATTAGTTAAAGAATGTCTTCCCTTTTTCTGCCTTTACTTCAGTATGGTATGATGTTCACTGTAAATGTATATCATATTTGCAATTAAGAAGAATATACAGAAAGGAAAAAAAAATCAGCTTAAAGATATTTGCCCCCAGATAGTCCTAAACAAACATTCTAACATTAAGTTAGGAGATTTATATTTTAAAATATAGACCGGCATACTGCCCATCAGAAACATCACTGGTTCCTTTCATATTGCCCCCAAAGTAGAAGTTAAAGTAGAGGCCTGTATTTTTTCAATTATAATTTAAATCATATACCATCCTCAGGTGACATTTCTGCCATTTGAGAAAGGGCATTATAGAGAAGCATGAGCTCCATGGTGGCCCAGCTGCAGTTTGTGACCACCAGCTAAATACTAAGCAAATTGGAGAAAAACAGGTTCCCTGATCGTTGCAGCAAAGTGGCTGCTATTTCAGGGAAAGCTGAAGCACCTACAATTAACTGTTCAGTGAAAGCAGTCCTTTCTAGTCCCCCATATTAGAGGATACCCCCCTCTGCTGGTCGAAAAACAGAAAAAGCAGCAACTGACTGAGCCAAGTCAGGGGAGCGCCACCTCAACCACCCTGGAGAGCCGGGCCTGGCCCAAGAGGACAAAGTATGTGCGCTGCTGGCCACCCTGAGGCCTGAGCGGAGAGGGCTGCCCCTTTCTGATACTCACCTGGACAAAGGTACACAAAATAAAGAAGATTAGATTTAGAATGGAGAGTCCTGGAATGATGTTGTGGTCTAGGACCATAGATTCGTGGGGCTGGCTGCTAGGTATCAGCATATAGATCATTAAACCCATAACAGGGATGCCAAACACCAGGCTGCACAGGAAAGACTTCTTCCACCTGGAAAGGAAGGCAGCAACACCGACACATTAGATACTGCCTGCCACTTGGATTACAGGTGATCTCACTTTAAGATTTGCCTTTGTCACCTGTCTGAGAGCAGATCCCCAAAGGCTAAAATGAAAGAAAGGCTCTCTGACGCCATCTAGAAATCTAAACATCATGGCAAGGATGTTCCAGAGAGGTGTGGAGCCAGCATTTGCCGCGGCCCGTGGTGGACGTTACCTTCAACCTTCAGGTGAGGCAACCGAGGTCTAGACACTAAGACTCAAGTCCCAACAAAGGTTTGTCCTGTTCAGCCTATGGTTGCCTAGTGATGTTTTTACAAAATGCAATCTTACACAGATTTACCCAAAAATTGCAGATAAAAGCATTATTTTATTAGTATAAATTTCTCTATGCATTCAATTTTAAGCTATAACTTAAATTGAGTCAGTAAGAACAGTGACGCTACCTTGATGAACCCCAGAGTTTGAAATTGGGGGTTAAGGAAGACACCTGTGGTTTCACATTGCCTTCCACCTCTACCGACATCCCAACCAAGTGGTGATGGAAGTTCTAAGGTGCCTCAAATAGGGTCCGAAAGCCACTCCCTGCAAGGCTGACATCACACACTCTCAGGCTGCTGCCCCAGGTCCTGAGTGTTAGCCCGTAACTGGCTGACAGAGGTTTCTCCTGCCAGTGCCTCTTGTCCTCTCAACATGCCAGTCACAGCAACCACATGAGGCTCTGAAGGAATTCCACCCCCAGCTCAGCCTGGCTGTTCTTTAGATTCAAAGAACAAATCATGTGTCCCTGCTTGTCATTTTTGCTGACTCCTCAGAGCCCACTTGAGCCACTTAAATCACTCTTTCCCAGACAGAGAATGGGTCCCTTTAAGTTAGAGATGAAGTTCTATTTGTCTCCAGCACCTGGCACAGTGCCTTACACAGAAGAGCAGCTTTATGATTGTTGAATGACTAAACAGCAAATGAAACAATGAGTGAACCCAAGTCCCTTGATTCCCAAGCCACATTTTCCTCCACTTGGCCATGATTCCTCTCTTCAGATCCTACCTCTGGAATCCATTCTAATAAAGTGTTAAACACTGTAAAAGAAAAAAAAAAATAATCCACATTTCATTTTACCCAACTTAAGTGCTGCCCAAACTGTTAGCCATCAGCTAGCTATTCATGACTTAAAATTAGTTAAAAATAAATGAAATAAAAAACTCACTTCCTCAGTCATACTAGCACTTCATTGCTCAGTTGCTATGGCTACCAATACTGATAAAGAATATGTCTGTTGTCGCACAATGTTCCATTGGACAACAGTTTTAGAGGGTGAACATCACAGAGTAAAGGCAACTAATCCAAGTGGAAGGTGCTGTGGGAACCAGAGGCAGAAGGGACATCAATAACACAGAATGAGGCAGAGTCAACCCGGGAAGAGCAAGACGCCTGGGTAAGAGCTGCACTTTATCTTTTCTGTTCTACCTACTGCTTTATTTCCACCTTGTGGTCCAAATGATGAGCGTTGGGGTTTCTCTGGGCCGGGGAAGCATGAAAGCCGATTTCCTTGTTATCAAAAAGACAGGGGTGGGAAACAAGAAGGAAGGCACTTGATTAAAACACGTACTGGTAGAAAGAATGTTTACATCTTTACACATCAGAAAGAATCTGTAAGTACCTCTGAGACTATACTGGTTTTTCCTCTCATGACATCTTTCTCCCAATCATCCTACGTAAATCCTGTCTAATTCAGCATCATCTATGATTACAGACTATATCACCACCCCAGGAAGGGGTGACAGTCCTGTGCCCTCTCTCAGCAAAAGGCAGCAGTTCTGGGAAGTAACTTCTCAGGCACCAAAACTATAGAGTAGTAAAATGTAGAGCAATAAACTCTGAATTTTGGGGTTAAGAAATTGCCAAATATGGCATGGTGAGGTGCTTTATCAGTCACTCTCTGCATGAGGAAACTGGAGGGAAAGTTAATAGGCTGCCCAAAGTCACAGCATTAGCAGAAGAGCCAGATGAGCTGTCGGGTGCCCAGGCTCCCAGCACAGGCTTCTTTTGCAGCAGACCTGGGCTCCTTCTACCCACCACATTTTTGTGTCACTTGCCCTGTCCCAGCCCTCTCTGCCTTATTTGATCTGATCACGGAGACTCTGAGACCCTTTATAAATATACACAGGAAAAGTTGCCAGGAAGTGTCCTGTTGATCAGCACAATTATAAAGAGAGGGCCACAGAATACCAGTATAGGGATTTTACACAAAAACTAAAAATTATGATGAGGAAAGTATATCTAAAACTGTCTAAAGACAAATCATTTCACAACTAATATTGACCCAATTCTATTAGGAAATGATGCCCCAGAGATGCAAGAAAGGAGGAGGTCAAATATCACACAATTCCTCCAACAAGGATAAAGAGGGTTCTGTACCCACAGGCCGGCTGGAGTCCAGCAGGGACATTGTAAATAAGGGTAATCAAGAAGCACTCGAAGGTACGGCTGAACCTCCCAACTATTAAAGCATCTGCCTGCCTTTCAGTCACATCAACCCCGTGTTACTACTGTTCTGCAAGATCCATGTATGTAGAAAGAAAAAACGACTGAGCTTGGAGATAGATCTGAGTTTGTGTGTCACTTCTTAACCTGCTAGCTGCGTACCAGTGAGCAAAGTCACTTAACCTCTCTGGGGATCTTTTGTCATCTGCTAATGAAGTCATGCTGTTGGCCTCTGAGACTGAGACACGGCAGCAGCAGCATTGTCTGCCTGTCGAGAGCCCTAGGAGGTCATCCAATAGGGAGCATCTAGCTTTAAATCTCACACATACATACAATGAGCAAAAAAAAAAAAAAAAAAAAAAAGCTATTACAAGTTGCTACAAAATGTTTCATTCCTAAGCAATTTCAAAAGTAACTGTTGCCCTTAAACATCCTTTCTCCTTGCTATTAGTTTTTAGAAGTTAATCTGGTACAGTTTGGGCTGTTTAACCCATTCAGGTCCCCACTGATGCTCATCCTCCTCTGGTGTGGTATCATATAGGTGTTAAAAAGGAAACAGTATATCTGTGGACTAAGGAAGGAACTAGTGGCATGAAAGTGATTGTAATTAATTTTTCAAAGCAGAAATGACCAAACTTCTCCCATGATAAGACAAGTCTAGCATGGTGGCAAAACTCAGAACAATAATTTTCAACACCAACATTCTTTTGATCTATAGATACTTGGTACAGAAATAAATAATCCTTTTAAATTACATTCAGGCATGTTAACCCCATGTAATTAGGTAGGCATCTTAGTCATGTAAATTTTTCTCAGAAAAGATCTAAAATTAAAGTAATAATGTCTTCTTCTTACTTCTTCTTACTCAGTCACTGATTCTCCTTCTGAGATTACCTGATATTTTCTTACCTTCACTGTATATGATTCACCTTATTTCCACAGAAAAGTTGAAAGCTTTTAGGTAACTCTCATTTATTTCCTTTTTGTACAACTACATTTTCTCATTTTTGTACAGTAACTATGTATCACTATTTTTAAGTGGGTATAATTTGGGAATGAATGACATACCTCAATAATTTTGACAATATCCCGTGGACCAATAATTTCAGGATCAAACTTCACATGGGCTTTGCTGGTGGCAAGGGCCACAGAGGCGTAGCTGATGCCATTGGTCCTCGTGAGTTTGGACTCAATGTTGTGAACACAGGAAGCACAGGTCATCCCGGTGACCTGCAATAAAAAATGACAAAAATCTTTCACCCAGGATCCAGAGGTGCCTATCCAAAGCACACCGCCCAAAGTGAGCCTAACAGGCAGCTGCTAGCCCTTGCTCCTTCCCTAACAGCCTCCCCAAGGCCCTGGGCATTCATTTCCATGCCCTCTGCAAAATTTTTACCTCAAACAGTCCCTCAGGAGTTTCAGGGATATAAAACAGTGGTTCTTCCCTAGGTCACTTCAGGACTCGCAGCTAATCACTAGACACAGACAGCAACAGCTAGAGACCTGACTTCAGGTTCTGCTGATGGATTTTTGCAAGTGACTTCACATTCTTTGTCTCAGTTCTCATCTCATCAAGGACTTCAGGTAATAACACATACAGTTCCTCTACCTCAAAGGGGAAAGGATGTGAAACTCTGCAAAACTCTTTGATCCGAAAAACTTTCCATGATCTCAAAGGTGGTTGGCATTTGATCTAGCTAATACCTCCCCATTGCAGGGCTCTGCTCATGCCGAGGATGACCTAGCAATACCTCATTACCAACAGGAGGAAAGGACTGAAGAAGTAACTCGTGGAAGAGATGGAATTTGAAGTGGCCCCAAAGTATGGGTAGGGTGTTAGCAGGTGAAGTAAAGGCACCAATAGGAAGAAACATGGGGAAGAGACAAAAGGCAGGACAGCTGTAGGGTTCAGCCAGCCACCCAAGTCAGGCGTGGCCGCACACAGTATGCACAGGATGCCCTCCCTGTTGGTAGGGTCCACACAAAGACTCTTGAGCACCCAACTAAAAAGTACTGACAGGAAGTCAGTGATGGGTAATAAACATCAGAATGACAGGACTGGGGCTCAGATTGAAATCAGCATCAAATACCTCAAAATCAAAGAGTTCTGTCTGAATCAGAACTGGGGCTCAGATTGAAATCAGCATCAAATACCTCAAAATCAAAGAGTTCTGTCTGAATCAGAACACATTCACATCGGCTTGGGACCCCAGGAAAAGACAGGAAAGGGAGGACCATCACACAGATGAAGCATTTACCTGCTAGCAGGTGTCAATGCAATCCAAGCTTTATAAAGTCCACAAATATTTCCAGAGAGCAACAAAGCTCTCACTTTACTTTTACAGTCACCCCAATAATAATACGTAATTCTGCACCCTTGCAATTGTGCTAAGAATGCCACAAGTATACTGTCCTGCTCACACCAACCCTACTGGGTAGGCCTCAGAAACTGCAGCACCGAGGGTTTGGGAACTTGTCCAGATGGGGCAGAGGTGGAATCTGAAGCTGATGTCCTGGAACTGACTCTCTTCTCAGAACCACTGCTGAGTACCTCATGAGGTGATCTTTATGATTATCCGTACAGTGACAGGGCAAGGATGCAAGCCCAGTATAAGCTACTTCACTCGATGTGAGCGAAAAGAGCTGCAGGTGCGACAAGCCATCCCTGTAATGTGCATCGGACAAAACAGACAATCCACTCTCCCAAGTATCAGTGGTCCAGAACACTAATGAAACACAGCCAGAAATGCCTACACGCAATGTCTGTGCAGATGAGAATAATATAACTACTGACACTGCTTAGTTCAAAATAAATAAAAAAATAAATACAAACAAGGCTTCCCTTTTCTGAGTCAGAGATTCCCTACAGTGGTAGTCTGAGCAGGTAGAGATGGCCCCATGACCTGGGGCCCTGCTCCTGTCATGGGCTGGTTTGAGCTGGAACCTGGTGAATATTACACTTTGCCCTCCACACACACAGAGGCCTGACCAAAGCAAAGGGTTTGCTCTGCAAATAACACCACTTATCGGGAGCTCAAAATGCCACTGGTGTCCTCAGTACTTTTTTCTTCAAACATTTACTTATCACCAATGGCAGTGACTAAACATAGCAAGGAAATAAAAGACCCTTTTACCTCAGCGAAAGAACATTACTCAATTCCTTGTGGGTTTTATCTAAGTCTCCTTTTATTTACACAAAAGAGCTTTGTGCAGAAATGCTTGTGAACCCAGCACGTTCAAAACACTAGTAATACCTTGTCTTTACTGGCTTGTTGACATACGCAGCTGGTGAGAGTACATGAGCAGGAAACGACAGTCTGCCCCACCCCAGCCACTCCGGCATTCATGACTGAGGACTAGGACACACTGGTTAACAATCACCTTCTTTTTTAAAGATTTATTTATTTATGCATACAGAACAGGGGTGCAAACCAGAGGTGCAGGGGCGGTGAGGGGCTTCACCAGAGACAGAGCAGGGAGCAGAACAGGGTGACTGACGAAGTACACTGCTGAGGGGAGCAGCGGGCAGGTCAGGAGAGGTCTGGCCGCGCCATGTGGGTCACCTCTGGGGTCAGGGATCGAACTCATGTTGAAGTGACTTTAGCTTCTTAGTGCTGCATTTACCCGCTGCGCCACCAGGGAGGGCCCAACAATCACCTTCTTAATACCCCTTTGCCTCCCAACAAGTCCCATCTTTGAATGCACTGACAAGTGCGACAATGCCCTCCCGAGCTTCTGGCATTCCAGCTTCCCTCCAGTTTTGTGGAATGTGTTTGTGATCAACTCCCTCAGACCACCAAACCCAATTCAGGCAACATTTTTAATTGCTCTTCCACCGACAATTCCATGACTTTTCATCACACCCTTTTCTCCTCTTCCTCCTCAGGCCCTGAATATACTGGTATCCACTATATTACTTTTTAATATAACTGACATTCCTCCACGAAAACGAACTGTTTGTCATTATTTTCAAAGGAAAACAAAACCGCCAATGACGACAGCAAACAGGATGCGTGGAGCAGAAGCAGTGGGCTGACCACAGAGTGCTCCCTCAGAACACACCTGCAGTCTGTCAGAGGCCTGCTGTGCCCGGCACCCGCATCCACCCAGCCACCACACTTACAATCAGCTCGAGGTCGCCATCGGAGCCTGCATAGTCTTCCATGACTGCTGCATCGAAGCCCAAGTCCTGGATGAGCTGAGCTATCTCGAGTGGCTGGATGACTTCTGGATTATACTTAACCTCTGCCTTTCCAGCCATTAAGGCAACAAGCACGGAAAGGATACCTGAAACCATCGGGTCACAGCTGTGATGACATGTTCACACATCTGGGATGACATGGTCAATTAAACCTGATACAAAAATGTCTGCCCCAGAAGACCTGAGAACAGTGGTTCTCAAACTGGGTTGAACATCAGCTCCCTGGGAAAGTTTACATTCACAATGCCTGGCCCTTAACCCAGAGCAATTAAATCAGAATCTCTTAGCATGGTTGCCAGTCATTTTTTCTTTTTCCCTGAAAATTCCCAGATAGTTCTAATGGATAGCCAAGTGGGACATCACTACTTCAGAACAATGTCTCTCATGCTGGGCATACAGGCCAGCTGAGGACCTTGCTGTAATTCAGTGGGTCTGGGGTGGGTGTGGTGGGTTCACGGTTCTATAGATCCATCCATCTCCAGGATAAAGCCTATGTTACAGACCTGGGGACCATTTCAAGGCAAGCTCTAGAAAGATACTGATGGGTAGACACACCTCAAAGCAAGAGATGTAGTCTGCAGGTACCAACTAACTTTCCATGCACTTTTTTGTTTGGATACTTTCATATAAAGAAAAAGTAATTTTACTCTTTTTCAGTTCTTAATGACTTTCAAGATTGAAAAATTGCTACAAATTATCTTGCTGACACTACTGTGCTGGTTTAAGGGAGAGGAAAAACACCTCACTGAAATAAATGGAAGGAATGATGAGCTTTTGAAAGGATGCCATAGGGAATAAAAATGAGGAATTCAAGTGAGGGGCAGAAACACAAGCACTGTGAGATTTCAGACTGGAGTCAACTCACAGGTGACAAAGGAACTCTCCTTGAGCACCTCCATTTGAGAACAGTCAGTAAGAGTTTAGTGCACAGGGAACCAGAGTAGGGCGAGATGTGCCATCCCAATGTAGGGTTGATTCTCAGGGTGAAGGAGTCTAAGCAGAAAGACACCTGGAGTCACTGCAGTGACCCTGGTGGTGAGATCCAGTCACTGTTAAGAGAGTTTCCAAATAAATAACTAGGGCAGGCTTTTGTTGCACTTTCAAGTGTAAGAGTCAGCACTAGAGGACAAAATGCTGCCATTTCCACATCACTCTATGGTTTGTAAGGATAACAGGCCAGCATATTTGAACTTAGAACTTCACAAGAAGCATGCTGTTTAATTGTTTGATAGAAGTTTATGGGATATGAAGAGAAAAACAAGGGCAATGACTAGGACAGGCTAATCAAAGAGCTTACTCACAGAATGTGCCATGACCTTTAAACTGGATTTCTAACTTACACAGGAATACACTTTATCTCAAACAACTTAAATACATCTTAAAGAGCAATGCCAAATGTCCGAGAATGTTAGACAAATCTCTACACTGTCATTAATGAACTTGGTACCAGATTATCATGGCCACTGATAAATGCAGTCAAGGGAGACTATCGAGAGCACATGGCACCCCACTTATGACTGAGTTTACACAGAGAACCCCAGTTTACCTGTGTGCAGATCACTTACCATCTTCTTTCTGCAGGCTTCTCTCTATGTTAGACACACAGGATGCACAGGTCATGCCTGTGATCTGTAAAAAGCACTTCTGTGGTACCATCGTTATGGAGGCTTGTCGGGGCCTGGTTGAGCCGAGATTTTCAGGGAGTCTCCCAGCCTGCGGAGACACTGCCCACACAGACCCAAGGGTATCAGCTGCAGCTGGCACTGTGGAATTCTCCCCATTATGGTTTCCAACATGGCTGCCAGGACAGCTTTCTAGGATAAATTGTCAGAAATCATTCAAATGAGAAAAGCAAATCATACATTTTCTCAGAACAGGAATTTCAAGCTGAACCATATTAAAATGAAAGGTCTTGAAGAGGCTATTTGGAGATTGGTGCTTCCATCATTCTCTCTCCCTCCTCTGAAGCAGTGGCAGAGGCACACAATTGCAGACATAAGGAAAATATGCCAAACACGTTAAGACTGGAATGTTCTGGATAATGAATGCTCTAATTGGATAATAATAAGAATTCCCCAGGCATAAGCATGTTACATATATGACCCCCTTAAAATAGCTCTCTGGGGATAAATACTATCATCACTCCCATTTTAGAGATGAAGAAATGAGTTAAAGATGTTAGTTTACCCACTGTCCCTGAGGTAGTCAGTGGTGGACCTAGCTCCTGAACCAGGCCTGTTTAAGTGTTTGACTCTAGAACTTGCCACTCTGGTTGACAGAGGTTCACTTCCAACCCATGAGAAACAAAATGACCTTTCTTGAGTTGTTTGTCTTTCTCTGAATTGTTTGTAAAGTCCCATATATATAGAGTCCTTTGTCAGGTGCGTAGCCTGCAAATATCTGTTGTCAGGCTATGATTCGGGTTTTCTCCATCTACTGGTGTCTCTTTTGATAAAAGAAGCCCGTTAATGATTGTGTATTTTGAACTTTATAAATAGCTTTGATAATGTGAAAATATCCATGGCATTTTCTTACAGAAACTATTGTTTTCATAAACTCCCATAGTCATAAATCAAGCCTATGCTACACTTCAAATTTACTTCTGTGCAGAGTATGAGCTGACAGCCAAGGTTAATTTCTTTCCATCTGGATATCCAATTGTTCCACCTGCAAACACTGAGAAGACCACCCTCTCCTCAATGAATTGCAGGGGCATGTCTGTCACACATTAGGAGGCCATAAATGTGCTGCTCTGACTCTGGACTCTCCATTATGTTCATTTACCTTCTGGTCTTGTGTCCCTTGTGCCATTTTTTTTTAATTATTTATTTATGCATACAGAACTGGGGCACAGACCAGAGGTGCAGGGGCAGTGTGAGGACTCACCAGAGACAGAGCGGGTCACAGAACAGCAGATAAACTGAAATGCACTGCT